CTCCACATACTTTTCCAGCTCTTGTAGGAAAATAAACGGTTGCTTAGCAGTGCACTTTGCTCGGCCAATAGATGCTATTGCTTTCAGGAGCAAATCAGTCAGTTTCATCATATCACACTACAAAATAATAAAATTTCTTGATAAAACTTACAATATTTTTTTTGGCAAATATTTACAAAAAGTCTCTTGGTAAAATGCGACATGTTAGAAGCTGTTAGGAGTTGTATTCTATTGTGCCTTAACTTTACCTAATTTGCCAAAATCTCCTCTCCTCCTTCCCGCCCCCTCACCTCAGAAATTTATGAGAGAACAAAAAATAGGTAATATAACATTAAAAAGATAAAAATACATTCGAAAAAAAAAACAAACATAACTGTTGTGCCTATATCGAAAATTTGAACAACTTTTATCCGTTAAAATCCATTTTTTTCCTTGCTCACCTCGACATCCCGCATGCCAATCATCTGGGGGAATTTCTGGTCCATTTTTTGACTTTTTTAAAAAAAAAACAGGTATTGCAACAGTCTGTTGTGCTCAATGCTTTCTGCGCTTGTTAAATTTGCTGGTTTCAGAAAAAAAATAGCAAGAAAAATATATGACCTGTTCACAAAACGTTTGTCGCCTCATTTCATCAAGTTTGCGCTGCTCTTCTACCGTGTCAAAACATGGAATTACGCCAAAATCACGATTATCTTCCATCTCAGAAAAATCTTAAAAATTTTGGATCATTTGCAAAACTCATAGCGTGAAAAAATCATCATAACAATTATGATGGATATGTATTCATACTTTTGTAAATGCATTATATTTCTTTATATATCTATCTACCAAGAAAATAAGCACATTTCTTATATATGCATATGCACTTCTACATATATACGTAATGGGATAGCATGTTTGTTTACTGCGCCATTGGAGAGCACTGAAAGTATGAATCAGTCGTTTCAACCACCAAAAAAGTATCTGCGGTATGGATGCATCCCAGTAACATCACTAACAAGAGATTCTCGCACCGACTGCTCTAGCGGTCTTGGTATTCTTGGCGTATATCCAAAAAACTGACCAATTAACCACTGGCAATGAAATATTAACAAAACGTATTGGACATACACACACACAACACACATACACACATATATACATAAACAATACACACAGGCAGACAACCCCCTGAC